GCGTGAGCCCCCAAACCACCACTGCCTGCAGGTGCCCCGGGGTCACTCCCTGCCCCGCCAAGGTGTGCAGCGTGGCCTGCTCGGGGCAGCATGGGGAGGACAGGCCCCTCTCAGAGCAACACTGGACCCCGCAGAGCAGTGTCCTGGACCCCTCTTGGAGCAACAGGGAGGGGGTCAGACCCTTCTTGGAGTGACATTTTGGGCTCAGACGCCTCTTGGAGCAGTGCGATGGGGTCAGAGCCTTCGCAGAGCACCGGGGGGGGGTGTAGGATCCTCTTAGCCCTGTGCAGCGAGATCACCTCGGCACTGGCTCCGGTCCCTTTCTTGGGGCTTTCCCTTTGGGGGCACTGGGCAAAAGTCGATGTGCTGGAGCAGGGGACAGTGGCTTTGGCAGTGCCGATGGCATCTCCCTGTGCTCTCTCGAGCGCCAGGGTGTCCATATGGGTTTCTGGAGTACTGGAGAAGGATGGAAGGGACATCAGGGATGCTCCCAGCACTTCCGGCCATCCCCTCTACTGCCGTGGGGCTGTCACAACGCAGAAGTCGCGGCTCAGGGTGCTGCACTGTGCCAGTCCATCTGAGCGTCCCCTGCGGGCTCCCCGTTCAGTCCCTGGGGACATCCCTTCCCCAGAAAAACCCTGCAGCTCGTTTGCCACGCGCACCCGGAGCTTGGTAGATCGCTCACATGGCAGTTGTGAAGAGATCAGTGCAATAAGTCGGTATTATCCCAAATTTACAGAGAGGCAGGGAGCTGGCAGAAGGGCCTGGTGGTGTATGGGAGCTCCCCTGGGAAGACGGGTCCCTCTCCAGCAGCCTCAGGGGGTCCCTGGGGACCAGAGGGAGGGATGCTCGTTGTTAGGGGGTGAAGGCTGCGTGCTGCGAGAGGTGGGAAGCCAGGGCTGCCCCCTCACCAATGAGTGATTCCCTGTTCCCTGTGCTGGGCCACCCACGGCACTGCAGGAGCTGGAGCTGATGGAAAACATCTTGACGAGCAAGCAGGATGAGAGCTGGGAGCAACGGGGCCCCCGGGCCTCCTTTGCCCGCCAGGAACGGAGCCGCCTGCTCTGGGAAGACGTCAGCGTTGTGGAGGAGGATGCCACCAAAGTCACCGCCCTGAAGCTGAGGCTGGATGAATCCCAAAAAGTGCTGCTCAAGGAGCGGGAGTGAGTGCTCGGCGTGACCCAGCCCAGCCCAGCCCGGTCCTCACCGGAATGGGATGTCCTGTGGGGTCCTGCCGGCTGTCACCAGTGTTGCCTCTCCCCAGGGACAAGCTGGCGCTCAGCAAGAGCATCGAGAAGCTGGAGGGTGAGCTCAGCCAGTGGAAGATCAAGTACGAAGAGCTCAACAAGAACAAGCAGGAGGTGATGAAGCAGGTGAGTGAGGTACCTGGGGACCAGGGGTGCCCCCTTGGCAGGTGGCACGTCCTGGTGGGGCGACATGGTGACCTACAGTCACCCCCAACTCCAGGGTGCTCATGAAGGGTCTAAACCGGTGCGATTGAACCAGTTGGTCCATCCGTAGAGGTTGGGTGGGTGGGTGCGGGCAGGGCTCAGGGTGGTGCAGGGTGGGTGCTCGCTCATCTTGGGTGCTATGTGTGTCCCCCCAGCTCAACATCCTGAAGGAGATCCATCAGGACGAGCTGGGGCGCATCTCTGAGGACCTGGAGGACGAGCTGGGCGCCCGCTCCAGCAT